GACAAGGAAGAAACAGTGCAGTTCTGGAAGCAGATATGGGATAACCCAAAGAAATACAACAAGGATGCGGCTTGGTTAAAAGAGGTGGATGCAAATAAAACAGAAGTTGAAATGAAAGAACTAGTAATAACAACAAAAATGGTAGAAAAAAGAGCAAAGAAAATCAAAAATTGGTCAGCACCAGGTGAAGATGAACTGCATGGGTTTTGGTTGAAACATCTAACTGTTATACACCCACTCATTGCCAAGCAGTTCAACAATATACTACAAGGAGGAGAAATTGAAAAGTGGCTAACAACTGGGAAAACCTACCTAATAATGAAAAATCCAGCAAAAGGGGCAACACCAGGTAACTACAGGCCAATTACCTGCTTACCAACAACTTTCAAATTACTAACTGGTGTGGTAGCTGATGCAGTACAACAGCATCTAGTTGAAAACAATCTCTTTCCACCTGAGCAGAAAGGAAACCGCCCCAATAGCAGAGGAACAAAAGATCAACTCCTAATAGACAAAATGATCTTGGAAAACTGCAAGAGAAGGAAGACCAACCTGAATGTGGCATGGATTGACTACAAAAAGGCATTTGACTCTCTGCCACATGATTGGATAATCAAGTGCCTAGAAATAACAGGAGTAAGTAGAAACATCAGAAAATTTGTGCAAGATCGATGGCACAATGGAAGACACAGTTGCAGATCAATGGTGAGAAGCTTGGAGAGGTTAATATCAAGAGAGGAATATTTCAAGGAGATTCATTATCACCATTACTATTTGTTATTGCACTGTTTCCTCTGTCAGCAATACTGAATAACTCAGGACATGGCTATCAAACATCAAAAACATCTACCAGACTATCCCATCTCCTTTACATGGATGATCTGACGCTGTATGGAAAAACATCATCTGAAATAGGAATCGCTGCTCCACACTGTCCGTATATATAGCCAAGATTTGTAACTGGGGGGGAGTTGGCTTGGACAAATGTGCTACAATTACTATCAACAAGGAAAAGTAGTGAAAACTGAAGGAATCAGATGCCCGACGAAAATAACATTAATAATCTGGATGGGACGAGTACTACAAATACTTGGTATCCTTCAGCTGACAACTCAAGCACACTGAATTCACGAAAAAAGATTAGAGGTGAAATACAGTCAAATAGTGAAGAATCCTTAAAGTCCAAACTCAATGGGGAAATACCATAAAGGCAATCAACACCTGGGTACAATCCCAGTCCATTAGGTACACGCTGGTAATAGTGGACTGTGACTCAAGCAGAACTAAAAGCAATGGGATAGGCAGACCAGAAAAATAATGACAATGAATCAGGCCCGTCATCCACGCAGTGACATTGACAGACTTTATCTACCAAGGCAAATAGGTGGGCGTGGAATGCTACAAGTACATCAGATGGTTGAAGAAGAAAAAATGGCTTTGGAAGAATATCTGAAGAACAATGATGAAGATGCACTGAAATTAGTATATCAGGAAGGCTTACTAACTACGGGAGAGACCAAACTGGCCTACAAGAAAGACCAAATGAAGAACAGAATAGAGGCATGGGAAGACAAAGCACTACCTGGCCAATACATGAAAAAAATAGCTGGGAAAGCAGATAATAATAAAACCTGGCAATGGCTAAGAGCAGAAAAATTGAAGAAAGAGACCGAGGGACTAATTCTGGCTGCACAAGACCAAGCCTTAAGGACAAATGCATACAAAGTCAAAATTGAGAAGACAGCAACAGACAGTAAGTGCCGCCTATGCAAAGAATCTGAAGAAACAGTGGACCACTTGGTAAGCTGTTGCAAGAAGATTGCACAGACTGATTACAAGCAGCGGCATGACAAAGTAGCAACAATGGTGCATTGGAAGATCTGCAAAAAATATCATTTGCCTGTAAGCAAAAACTGGTGGGATCATAAAAGAGAGAAAGTCATAGAAAATGATAAAATTAAACTGCTCTGGGACTTCAGAATTCAAACAGACAAGCACCTGCAACATAACACCCCAGACTTAACAATTGTCGATAAGAAAGACAAAAAAGTCTGGATAGTGGATGTGGCAGTGCCTGGAGATAGCAGAATAGAAGAGAAAGAACTGGATAAGATAACAAAATACAAAGACCTACAAATAGAAATAGAAAGACTGTGGCAAAAGCAAGCAAGGGTAGTACCAATAGTGATAGGCTCCTTGGGTGCAATCCCAAAACAACTGGAGCACCACTGGAACACCATTGGCATTGGGGGGGGGGGGACATTTCGCTATTAGTCAATTGCAACACGGCGGCCATTATTAGGAACTAGCTTCTCCTGCGACGATACCTGTAATAACCTCAAAACAGCCACATCTGCCTATCCCAGGTCCTGGGTAGGACTCATAGGTAGAACAAATGCCAAAATCCAGTCTGAACATCTGGCTGACTGGGCGATATCCTAATAATAATAATGCAAACTATAGGCATAACCTCCAATTTCAATCCAATCAGAAACGTTTCTACCAATCCATCAATGGAGAAACTGCAAAGAATCAGTCAGTACCTGACAAGGAAGAAACCGTGCAGTTCTGGAAGCAGATATGGGATAACCCAAAGAAATACAACAAGGATGCGGCTTGGTTAAAAGAGGTGGATGCAAATAAAACAGAAGTTGAAATGAAAGAACTAGTAATAACAACCAAAATGGTAGAAAAAAGAGCAAAGAAAATCAAAAATTGGTCAGCACCATGTGAAGATGAACTGCATGGGTTTTGGTTGAAACATCTAACTGTTATACACCCACTCATTGCCAAACAGTTCAACAATATACTACAAGGAGGAGAAATTGAAAAGTGGCTAACAACGGGGAAAACCTACCTAATAATGAAAAATCCAGCAAAAGGGGCAACACCAGGCAACTACAGGCCAATTACCTGCTTACCAAAAACTTTCAAATTACTAACTGGTGTGGTAGCTGATGCAGTACAACAGCATCTAGTTGAAAACAATCTCTTTCCACCTGAGCAGAAAGGAAACCGCCCCAATAGCAGAGGAACAAATGATCAACTCCTAATAGACAAAATGATCTTGGAAAACTGCAAGAGAAGGAAGAC